TTAAAGCAATCTTTGAATGTTGGTCTGACAAAGCCTTTTTTCGAAGTTAATTTTTTTTTTTTAAGTTTGTAGGTTTATTGGCCTTATGGCCTCATTGCATTTCCCTTCCTTGCATTTTTTTGTGTCATTCAAATTCAGATCATCAGATCTATTTTTAAAGCTTACATAAACATGAATCTGACTTTTTGGATACATAGAAAGTGTGATTACAGACTCTATTTACACTTTATCCTGTTATCCTATTGTAGTGTAATAATCTGTATAGAATGGCACATAAAAGTACACATTCTGTGATTAGCCATTTTACGTGACAATCTGATATCTGTTTCTTTTGTAAGTGGCCTGAATGTGGGCCATACCTTTTGCTGATATTCAAAATGACAATAAAAATGAGAGTTGGGACAATGTAAGAAGAAACAGCATATTGAATGCTGCAGTAGAGGGGAGAAACTGCTGGAGAGAGGAAGAAAAGAGGCCGTGTCATGTAAGACCAGGTCCTCGGGCGATGACTGGAACAGCTTTGTCACTGCGAGAGAAAAACCCTTCAGTTTAGAGTGAAAAACACACAGTATCAAGCACCTGGGAGGACGAATTTCCCCCGGCTCTGTCCAAACAGCGTAAATGTCTCTCGTTCTGCTCGGCTTCGCATGCTGTTTCCACAGGGCCTTAGCGCGGAAGTTGATCATGCTTTTCCTTGACCGAGTGTGAGATGGGTGAGGGGTCCGAGGGCCGACCGTTGATCACAGAGTGAACGGCTGACACTACACAAGCCTCCCTCTGTTCCCAGCGTCCTCTTCAGTCGCCTGTCACTTTGTCTCTGTCAGAGCGACGCGTCCCTGAGGCCTCTGGCTGCGGTAAAGCAAATACGTTCATGAATCTCTCCTCCAAAACAGGCACAGATCTCCTCCATACTCCATTATTTCGGGAAGCGGGAGCCGATAACCTCTCCTGAATGTGAGGCGGTGTTTGCGTGTGCATTGCATATTTTAATGCTCTATTTTAGTCGTAAATGATTGCGAGGATGTCAGATACGAGACGATAAAACTTTATTAAACCCTTGAGGGAAATAAAAGCGTTACAGCAGATGAAATAACAGAGACAGAAGAATAAACAAGTGGAAATGATGGATCAACATAAATACATCTATCTATCTATCTATCTATCTATCTATCTATCTATCTATCTATCTATCTATCTATCTATCTATCTCTGTCGGTCTATCTGTCTGTCTGTCGGTCGATCTATCGGTCGGTCGATCTGTCTGTCTGTCTGTCTGTCTGTCTGTCTGTCTGTCTGTCTGTCGGTCGATCGATCTATCATCCATCCATCCATCCATCCATCCATCCCTATTCTAGTTCTTTCTTTCTTTCTTTCTTTCTTTCTTTCTTTCTTTCTTTCTTTCTTTCTTTCTTTCTCTGTCTGCATGTATCTATCTATAGGAGGTGTGCATGCGTGTATGAAGGGGTTGTGTTAATTCTTGTGAATGTGTGTGCAGGAGGTCGTGTCAGATGTTTGCATACAGTATGCAGCTGTTTATGAGCATCTGCTCTGAATGCCCTTAAAAAACACAATATGAGCTGATGATGGGCCATGTGCTTTTACAGCACATGGTATGATTTCTAATTCATAAACCGTTTCCTTGTATTTGTCTTTTTGTAACTTGTAGCTTTTAGTGTGGAGTGCTCTAACCACACACAGAGAACTCTTCAGAAGAGCCCAGAACGAGCTGCAGCAGCATCAAATATTTACACGCAGCATTTTGGACGGGAGGTTTTAAGCGCTGATACAGGCACAAAGCGGCCCAGAAGTGCATCACACCCTTTTATCTGTCACATCCGCAACTGGATTTGAAAAATCAAATGCAATCAGGTGGATCCAACCATGAGTGTGTATGTGGTGGGAAAGGGTGAGTGAGTGTGTTTATGTGAGTTTGTGGTTGGTTTTTAAACAAAGTCAACAACTGCTGATACTTTGGAAAAATACCTTCTTAAATGATAAAGCACTACAAACTTAATATGTATAGTCAGTGTAGGCTTGCTTTTACTGGAGATTGGAAACTATGAAATAAAACAAGAACACGAAAATATGCATTAGTGATAAACATTTTAGGGCAGGGGTCACCAGACTCGGTCCTGGAGGGCTGGTGTCCTGCTGAGTTTAGCTCCAACTTGCCTCAACACACCTGCCTGGAAGTTTCTAGTATACCTAGCAAGACCTTTATTAGCTGGTTCAGGTGTGTTGGATTAGGGTTGGAGCTAAACTCTGCAGGACACCGGCCCTCCAGGACCAAGTTTGTTGACCCCTGTTTTAGGGTCTAGTACTATGTACTGCATACTGGGCAACAACCAATAATAAAAAAATGCTCACGGAATACATACTGCACAAAAAAAGTGTGTTGTTTATTGTACAGGTTTAGTGTGCTTTGTTTACACTCTTAAACATAAAACTTTATTGATATCCGTGGTTCCATGAACAACTTTTAACAGCCATGGAATGTCTCCATTCCACAAAAAGTTATTTATAGTGAAAAAAGGTTCTTTAGATCATTTAAATGTTCTTCACACTGAGAAAAAAAAAGGTCCTTTTGAAAACTGTTTGTTGAAAGATTCTTTGGGGAACCAAATATGGTTCTTGTATTGTAAAACCTCTTTTTGGAACCTTTATTTTTTTTCTTTAACCTTTATAACCTTTATTACTTTTAACCTTTATTATTTATGGAAGCTTTATTTTTTTTTCTTTATTTAGAGTGTCTTTTATTTTGAAATTGTTCTTGTCATGACTTTGATCATTTATCTCTGTCTAATAGTGTCTGGGTGTTTGTTTTTAGTCTCATTAAATCAGCATGTTTTCTGACAGACTTACATATTTCTTCAGGTTGTGTGCTTTGTTGCTGTATGATTGGTGAGTCTTTGGTTCCAATTATTCAAGTTCCCATGTTCTGGATTATTGCTTTTCTCTTTATTAATAGTAAAAGCTTCATTTTGGTCCTAAACCAGTACTACTTCTGATAGTCAAACTAACATTTGGTAACATGCATGTTTTTATCGAGTCTGGTTAAGCGATGTTGTTGATTTTTTTAATCAAATTTTGGGCAAAGTGTTAAATGTTTTGGCAGGCCAGTCAAATAATTATTTTTTTAAATCTTAGTTAATGTTTATTTTGGAAGTTATATTTTTGCCAGAAGACATTAATTGATGGAATGAAGTGGTGTGCATTACTTGTTGATTATTGTGATATTTTTATCAGCTGTTTGGACTCTCATTCTGACGGCACCCATTCACTGCAGAGGATCCACTGGTGAGCAAGAGATGTAATGCTGCATTTCTTCAAATCTGATGAAGAAACAAACTCATCTACTGTACATCTTAGGTGGCCTGAGGGTGAGTAAATTCTCATCAAATTTTCATTTTTTGGGTAAACTATTCCTTTAAGTAGCAGCATCCCAAGACGGCAGCATTAGTTGTTAAATAAGAGGATTTACAACAGACTGCATTTATAATCTTGTTTTTACTTATTCCATTTGCAAATATTAAAAGTGCACTGGCATTTATGTTTATGTAACGTTAACTTGATACCTTTGCTGCTTTTAAAAGCACATTCAAAAAAGCATAATTATTAATATAGATATGTTACTTGGTTATTCGTTAAAATTCATGCTTTCTATGTTTTGAAAAGCTGCTTCTGGTGCATGTTGTACATACAAAGCAGAGGAGGCAGCACACTTAAAGGATCTAAATCAAAGCCTCTTGTTTCCAAATAGCCTTTTTTCCAGCTTGACATCAACGTTACAGGTAAAGCACAGTCCGTCCGCTCTCACGCAGGTGTTAAGTGGTCCTGAGGTCTGGCGCCTCGAGCGTCCGGGGGAAATCGATCTTCTTAATATGTCTGCTCGTGCCAAATGACTTTTGACAGGACTGTTCAGTCAGGGAAATAATCAGTCACGTAGAGAAATTAAATCACCGCGGTGGGTTAAATTCTCCCTCTCTTTCTCTCGGCGTGGATCTGGGCTCGGTCAGGAGGGAACGTGCCGGATCAGAGATAATGGCCCTGTCTGGACTTGCTTCAGCCCGGTTGACAGACACCTTCAGCTACCTGGAGCAGTCATGCCTCAAAGAGCCCATTCCCTCAGCGCCCGCTTGATCTCTTTGTATCTCTTTATCGCTCTTGAAATTTCTCTCTCGATCATTCGCTTTCTTTTTTCCTCCTCCTCCCTCTTTATCGTGCTGAAAAACCCAAACTAGACCAGCTAGTTCAACTGGAGACCACCTTGAAGTGCCAGTTAAAGGGATAGTTAATGTCATGCCCATCCCGTGTGGAAATTTCAATAATAACAATAATTGTTTTCAAACAGGTTGCCCTCCTTCTGTCTTGCATTTGTTTGGCAAAACAAGTAGTCCAACCCCAAACTAAACTCAAACCCCAGAAAATGGTACCTGAAATCTGAAATAAATGTTAATATATCCCTTGTGCTGAAAATATTTCAGTTATTTGGTTTTCCCAGTCAAAAATTACCGGCATTTTAAAAATTGCTATTATGCTGTATCTTTTTTGAACTGATTGATCATAGGCCTCATTGATCTGAGTTCATGGACCTCAGTTTTTAAGTGAAAAAAAAGCATCATTGGTGGATAATTTTGGCAATATTCGCTCAAAAACTGAGGTGCATTAGAATGTACACTCTAAAAAATGCTGGGTTAAATACAACCCAGCGCTGGGTAAAATATGGACAAACCCAGCTATTTGACAGGGGTTGGGTAACTACCCAGAAGGTTGGGTTAAACATTTAACCCAACCGCTGGGCCAAAACAACCCAGTTGCTGGGTTTGTCCATATTTTACCCAGCGCTGGGTTGTATTTAACCCAGCATTTTTTAGAGTGTATCCCACAATGCAGTGCATTCAACTTAATTAAACAATGTATCAAGGTCATGTGACAGTGTAGCAGATCACCATGTAATGATATATTATTTCAATAAATTATTATTTAATTGTTTTCAAACAGGTTTCCATCATTCTGTCTTCCATTGTTTGAACAAAAGGACTAACCCCAAACTCAAAAAATATAAGGTATTTTATTTATTTATTGATATTTTAATATATTGTATTTTATTTTACATATACAGTTTTTATTTATTTATATTGAAGTATTTTAATAATATGTGCGCATGTGCACACACACACGCATACATATATATATATATATATATATATATATATTTAAATAATAGGTATTTTATTTTATGTATTAATTTGTTCATATTAAGGCATTTCACTTTTTAAAGGTAATTTTATTTGTTTATTATTTATTTATTTATTTATTTTATTGTTTTTAATATATGTAAAAGTATTTTATTTATTTCAAGGTCGTGTAACAAACATTACTTTTAGGTTTGGTGTCACTAGTGGTGCAGAAATGACACACTGCAGCTTCAAGTCCATCTTAAAATTTAAGCTGGTCCAAACTGGTCTATATTTGTTTCTTTTTTCTTCTCTTTTTTTCCAACAGGATCTTTCTCTCTCCGTCTCGCTCTTCCTCCCTGAAGCTGTACAGGGACGTTAGTTTGGTGATGATGGCAATGGAGGTCTTGGGAGGCTAATAGCTTTTCCAGGTAAATAAATCCCCATAGTTCATAATTAGCTATTAGCATGCGTGTCAACTGTTTGCTCTGAGCGCAGGTCACGTGTCTCTTGTATTTACATCACGGAGGTTTTCACTGTTAGTACGGCGCACAGGGCTTTCGTTTGTGAGCTGAGGTTATTCATGCAGTTAAGCATTTTAACACACACATGCTAATCTGAACTATCCTAACACAGATGAGTTGGGGAAGGGAAGTTGTGATCCTTATTCCGATTCCGGGTTTTAAAAGCTGTAATGTGGGGAAAAGGTGATTCAGATTCTGGTTTTATTAGTTTAATTATGGAAAAAAATAGCATCCGGTTCCAGGTTTACAGGTATATGTTTATTGTGGGGAAAAAAGTGATGGGATTTAGAAGCTTTTTTGTGGAAAAAGTTATTCTGATTCCAGATTTTAGAAGCTTTGTGGAAAAAAGTGATTTTGATTCTGGGTTTAAGAAGCTTTATTGTGAAAAGAAGTGTTTCTAATTCCGGGTTGTATCATTTTTGATCAAATTAATATTGTGGAGAAAAAAAGCACCCATTTCCAGGGTTTAGAAGCTGTATTGTGGAAAAGGTTTTAGATTGTGGATTTTGGAAGCTTTATTTAAAAAAAACAAACAAACAACAAAACCTGATTCCGATTCCAGGTTTTGAAAGCTGGTAAAAATGGTATCCGATTCTGTGTACTAGAAGCTTTATTGTGGAAAAAAAGTGATTCCGATTCTGGGTTTTAGAAGCTTTTTTGTGAAAAGAAGTGTTTCTAATTCCGGGTTTTATCATTTTTGTTAAATTTAATATTGTGGAGAAAAAAGCACCCATTTCCAGGGTTTAGAAGCTGTATTGTGGAAAAGGTTTTAGATTGTGGATTTTGGAAGCTTTATTTAAAAAAAACAAACAAACAACAAAACCTGATTCCGATTCCAGGTTTTGAAAGCTGGTAAAAATGGTATCCGATTCTGTGTACTAGAAGCTTTATTGTGGAAAAAAAGTGATTCCGATTCCAGGTTTTAGAAAGTTTATGGGGAAAAGTGATTCCGGTTTTAGTTTTTAGAAGCTTTATTGTGGAAAAAAAGTGATTCCGATTCCAGGTTTTAGAAAGTTTATGGGGAAAAGTGATTCCGGTTTTAGTTTTTAGAAGCTTTATTGTGGAAAAAAGTGATTCTAATTCCAGGTTTTATAAGGTTTGTGGAAAAAAGTGACTCCAATTCCAGGTTTAAGAAGCTCTTTGTAGAAAATGTGAATCCATTTCCGGGTTTTAGAAGTTCTTTGTAGAAAATGTGATTCCATTTCCGGATTGTAGAAACTTTGTGGGGAAAAAATCATTTCAGTTCCGGGTTTTATAAGCTTTATTGTCGAAAAAATAGTGCCGATTCTGGGTTTTAAAAGCTTAATTTTGGAAAAAAAAGTTTCCGATACCTGGTTTTTAGAAGATTTTTGTGGAAAAAAAATTATTCTGGGTTTTATAAGCTTTATTGTGGAAAAAGATAGCATTCGTCTTCAATAACTGGCAGACTGAGTGGTGAATTTGCTAAACATTTGCATGTGGTAACTTTAACCAGAGTGTTTAAATTAAGAACTTGTCTGTGCAAACATGCCTCCTTTCTATGTAAATAAGACTTATTTTTCAAGAAAGTCATTGTTTGACTGCCAGTGTTAACTTTGTTCTATTTGTCACCTGGTTTCAACTGGATTTCCTTTAGACACATCAGCAGGCACTGTTCATATTAGTGAATCTCTCGAGTATGTAGACGGACATATGGAAAGATGGCATCGTGCCCCTCAGGAATGCATATCTGGAAATATTCGATCCACAGAGGAGACTAAACTGTGTAAACTTGCAGAGCGTGAGATGTTTGAATAAAGTGGTGAATGTGTGTCACTACCGAACCAATGGCATCATGCGTCAGCTGATAACACGAGGCTGTGAGATGCACATCGCTCAAGACAAACAGTTCTCGTGACAGGCCTTTAAAGCGGCTCTCGCGGGACTCTAGCAATCCTACATCTCCTCTGTCAGAGTGCTGGCTGCTGGCTGAGATTAGCTCTTTGCCTTATTTAAAACTAGTGGATATTCCGATTGCCTAATTACTCAAAACGATCCCTGTGCAATTAAGCAGCACTGGCAGCCACCCAGACTGGAGCAGCTTACCAGAGCAAACACTGAGAACCGCGGTACACGCTCAAGCTAGATGCTAATTGATTTTTGTTATTTACATTTACGTTTGTGTTTTTGGCAGCCCCTTTCCAGCCAAAGAGACTTACAAAAAAAGAGCATTTCTTGTGTTAATGGCAATTACCAAAGGACACAAATAACTGTTGAGGCAATAACACATGTGCCAAGAGAAACACTAGAACACAAATGGGTGTTGGTTCTGCAATTAGGGGAACTTTTCTAACATCTTTTTTATTTATTTATGTTTTAACATGCAATTTAAGCCAATGCTTTTTTATGTGCAGTTTAAGTAAGGATTTAAAAATGAAATACAAGCACTGCATTTATTTATTTATTTATTTTAAGTAAGGTTTTGTGCATTTTTAAAATATTATGCTATTTAAGGACAAATTGTAAATTTGTCCTTTTAATACAATTTAAGCAACGATTTTAAAATATATATAATTAAATATATATTTTGTAAAAAAAAAAAAAAATGCTTTTTTGTTTATTTAAATGCAATTAAACTTAAGTACACATTTGTGCTTTTAAAAATGCAATTTAAGCACATTTTTATTTCTGCAATTTTCAGCTTTTAAAAAAAATGCTATTTAGGCATGGATTTGTGTTTTCTTTTAAAACAATTTACGCACAGTTTTAATATATAAATACTTAATTATATATATATATACACACACACACACACACAATTTAACCAGTTAAACTCTGCGGACCCGGATTTGTGCAGATTTGTGCTTTTAAAAGGTAATTTAACAATGGATTTGCACTTTTTTAGATGCAATTTAAGCACTATTTATTTATTTATTTTACAATTTAAGTATGGCTTTGTGCTATTAAAAATGCAGGATGCATTTTTAATGCAGTTTAAGCACAATTTTTACAAATTATTTTATTACTTTTTTTTTAAATATGCAAGTACAGGTTTTTTTTTTTTTTAAGGCAATTTAAGCACAAATTTATTTGCAATTTAATTATGGACTTGTGCTTTTTTAAAAATGCAATTCAAGCATGGAAGCATGCTTTAAAAGAAACAAACAACCAAACAACAATAACAACAACAAAAAACAAACATGCAATTTAACCATTTTTAATGCAACTTTTTCATTACCGTGCTGGTAAACATGAGAATTTTAGTTCAGATTTAATTGATTTCTTTTCATAAGTTCAACATTAATTCACCCCTAGACACCCTGTTGTGCATGTCCAAGGCTTTTCCATCTTTTTCTCCAAAAAAGTGGGAAATGTAATTACCATCACACACAATATCAAACGTCCACACCATCACACATTATACCAGAATCCTTTTGAAGGTTGATCAAGGCCATGATCAGATCTTCATTCCAGACATGTGATGAATGTTTTAACAGATGAAACACGTTTGAAGAAGTTTTAATTTTTTTAAAATCTGAAATATTCTCAGAATTGAAGAATCATACGAGAAACAACAACCTTTAGCTGTCACAGTTGTCCCTCTTAAAAAGGACAAATAAAAATAGTTGAAAAAAAGTTGTCGTTAGAGTTCAAGGGCACTGTAATGATCGTTTTCTGCTTGTAGGAATCAAACCAACAACCTTCTGGTTCCCGACCCTGGAATTGAACAACTCCACCGCACTACTGCACTGGTAGAAGTCATAGTAATTGTTAGTTTGAGAGAGAGCCAGCAGCAGCGAGCTAAAAGAAAAGAGCAGTAATCATATGTGTCATTTCATGCTAATAACGTTCCCCTGCGGTGAGTGCTAACAAACGTTGTGTGTTTAGCTGGCGTCGTGAAGCGTCTCAGAGGTCAGCAGAACCTTTCCTGTTGCGGCGTTTGGTGATTGGTGGGTTCGTGCGGGTCCACTCCGCTTCTGAAGCCAGTCTCACAAACAGTCCATTAAGAAAAAAGTGGCACTAAATCAAGCCTGGGAATAGAGGCGCCAGCAGTCAGCAGAGTGGAACGGCTTTCATTTATTTCAGAGGCTCGTTCGGGGAGCACCGCTGACAGGGGAGACGCTGCGATGGAAACTCAAGCGGCAGCGTTGGATTTTTCAGCCCGGCTGTCGCTTTTTCCCTCCCTTCTTAAAATTCCTACTGAATGTGAAACAGGTGATTGATTTGAGCCAGTACTTGAGCAGTGCTTAAGATTTCCCACATCAGCTGCACTCTCTGACAGCGAAGAGCCACTCGGCTGAGAATATAAAGAAGGGAGGGACAGGAACGGATGGATGGATGAGTCTAAGGGTGTGTCTCAATCCACACGTCCCAGGTCAGTAGTAAGTGCAGCGTTCAGGGAGTCAGACACTGATATAGCTGTCAAATGGTTTTTAAGTGCTTTTGAGGAGATAATAAGTATATGAGAATCCAGCCCACTGACTTATGCCTTACAAACCTTTAGTGTGACTTTGTAACAGTTCTTGGTTCATTTTAAATAAGACTTAGTAGTCATAATTTAAATGGTAAGTTATGACTTGGTAGGTTTGCTGTCGTTACTATTGTATGTACATTTTTGAGTACTTCAGCAGTAGCTTTTCTCATATCAATAGTTGAATATTTATGTATTTAGGAAATATTAATTGTTTAATATATTAATTATATTGTAGAAATATGTCATTTATAATTTCTATTAATAACGATTAATCACGATTAATTTATTATATTTATATTTGTGTATATTATGTATATATAAATACACACACATGCATATATTTATTTAAGAAAAATGTTACGTTTATATATTAAATATATTTATATATGATATAATTTCTATGAATGTAAATATATACACGTGAATACATGTAAATATATTCAAAATATATGCTGTATGTGTGTCTTTATATATACATAAGAAATATACACAGTACGCACACATATTATGTAAGCAAAAACTTTTATTTTGGATGCTATTAATTGCGATTAATTGTTTGACGTCACTAATAATTTAACATGCAAAGGGAGATATTAATATATTGTCACATTAATATATTGATATATTGTCACACTTAAAAGATTCAGATCATCAAACAAATTTGAATATTACACAAAGATAATGCAAGTAAATACAAAATGCCATTTTAAAATGATTTCATTTATTAAGAGAAGAAAGCTGTCCAAACCTACCTGGCCCTATGTGAAAAATTAATTGCCCCTCCTGTTAAATCATGAAAGAACTGTGATTAACCACATTATTTTAGAAAGCTGAGTTAAACTTCACTAGCCACTCGCAGGCCTGATTACTGCCAGACCTGTTGAATCAAGAAATCACTTAAATAGAACCTGTCTGACAAAGTGAAACATGCTTAAAGAGCAACACATCATGCTGCGATCTAAAGAAATTCAAGAACAGATGAGAATCAAAACAGTTGACATGAATCAGTCTGGAAAGGGCCATTTCTAAGGCTTTGGGACTCCAGCGAACCTCGGTCAGAGCCATTATCCACAAATGGAGAAAACTTGGAACAGTGGAACCTTCCCAGGCCGGCCTACCAAAATTACTCTAAGTGCACTGATGAGGGAATCATTCTAGGGGAGTCCCGTTGTCAGAATTGCTTCAGTGCACTCAGGCGTTCACTTCCTAGAGATGAAATGCACCATAAAAACCAGCAAGCATCAGCTGCTCATTATATTCACTTACCAGAGAGGTTGTCATGTCGTCTTCAGTCTCTCAAGTCATCAGAAATGGAGGACGAGTGCATATTTCATAATGCCACTGTACTAGTAACATCTATCCGCTCATCTATATTCATAGCTATTCTGTGTGCACATACATTTCTATGCAAGCTTGTTTCTGCCACGGAATAAAATATGAAAAAGATAATTGTGACTTTTTATTAGTCACAATTTAGAATTTTTTTTCTTGAAATTTTAAGTGTATATCTTGCTATTCTGACTTTTCCTCTGAATTGCAAGTTCATATCTCACAACTGTAAACTCAGAATTCAGAGAACAATCCGAATTGCGAAATGTAAACTCAGAATTGTAATTTATATCTAGCAATTGTCAATTATTCACTCGCGGTTCAGGCTTCTTTCTCTGAATTATCGCGCAATTGCAAGATATAAATTTAGAATTCTTAGGAACAAAAGTGAGATTTGAAAGATATAAATGTACTTTTGCAAGTTTATATCTAACAATTGTGAGTTTTAAACATGCAATTTGGGTTTTTTTGTCAGAATTTTTAGTTATTGTGAGATGTAAACTCACATTTGCACGTTTGTTGCTCGTAATTGTGGGTTATACGTTTTTTTTTTTCTCTCAGAGTTGCAAATTTATATCTTGCAATTATGACTTTTTTTCTCCAAAGTTGCATTGTGAGTTATTGATAGTGTAATGTAAATTCAGTATTCTGAGACAAAGTAGTTAATGTAAACGTGCGAGATTTGCATTTTTTTTTTTAAGTTATAAAATCACAATTCAGACATTTTTTTTCTAAGAATTACGAATTTATTGTACGATTATTGGTGAGATGTAAACTCGCAAGAAGAAAGTCTGAATTGTGAGTTACTGTAAAAAAGTCAAAATTACCAAAAACTCAGAATTGCAAGTTTATATCTCACAATTGCGGGTTATAAAATCACAATCCAGACCTTTTTTCTCAGAATTACGAGTTTATATCTTACAATTTCGAGGTATTAATTGCGAGATGTAAACTTGCAATTGCGAGGGGAAAAAAGTCTGAATTGTTAAAAAGTTAAAGGGGTCATATGATGCTGCTAAAAATAACATTATTTTGTGTATTTGATGTAATGAAATGTGTTTATGCGGTTTAAAAATTGAAATCGCATCATATGACCCCTTTAAAAAGTGGAAATTGCTCAGAAAAACTAAATTTTCATTAATTTTATTAAATGAATTTTAAATCAATACATTTCAGTTTTCATTACGTTCATTAAAACTCAGAATTGCAAGTGTATATCTCACAATTGTGAGTTAAAAACCCTCAGTTTGGACTTTGTCTTAGAATTGTGAGTTTATATCGTATAGTTGCGAGTTATTATTAATAGCAAAACAGCCTCAGTATTCTGAGAAAAAAAAATGTCAGAATTGTGAGATGTAAACTCGCAATTGCGAGAAAGAAGTCTGAATTGTGAGAGAAAACGTCACAATTTTTATTCCAAGGTAGAAAGAAGCTTTCATATATTTCTGTACGTTTGTGTAGAAATTGAAAAATGTAATATCAATATACTGACCGTTTATAATGTGAACAGTTGTACTTCTGCAAAAATTTGTTCGTCTTTGATTTTCGATGTCAAAATATGATACATATGGGAGTCTATCCAAACATATGGACTGTATGTACAGTATGCCAGAAAAGACAATTCACATTAAAACAATACCTATAAATATTAATGATGATGTTGCCAAAAAACTTTGTGTTGGTGACAAATAGCTATGTTTTAATGCACGGCCTCATGCTCAGGTGTCCCATTGTAGATGGAGGCCCTTGCTAGAGTTGAAATTCACGTTGTAGGGAACTAAGCTGCAGTTCAAATGCTAAAAGTGCATTTCTATGTTTCCTAATTTGCAAAAAGCAAAACCAATCAGCATCAGAGCGGTTTCTTCTTAAAGAGACAGCGTCCTGCCGCCCTTTGGAGGATGCTCTACACCGCAGTGCCCTGAAAGCTGATTAATTGGCTTGTCAGCTCAGTATTTTTATCCCATTCCCCAGATGAGCGCAAACACACCGTCCTTCCCAGTGTCCTCTTGCGTCCTACACCACGGTCAGGTGAATATAGAGGAACCCCCTGTGCCTGGAGCCACCGTCCGATTGGCCGAGAGCACCCTCGTTGCACGTGGCGATACCAGAGTCCCCCGACCAGAGGGCAAACCCTCCAGCAGCGTCCGTGTCCTGGGTCGTATGGGTTTAATTGGTGTAGCGGTACCTGCGAGAGGCTGCGCTGATTAATGCGAAACGCAGCGTTTCTGCAGAGCGCCTCTTGATGAAGCCCACAGGGCTCACACAGCAAGCGTGACAATGTACAGAGAGGAAGAACCTCCAGTCCTAATGTGCGGAGGAGGGAACGTAACCTAGTGAGTGTTCCGACGAAATGAAATAAAACAAAGTCACTGTTATGGATGGAAACGGTTTCTGCAATCTATTTCTAATTTATCTTTATTGCAGCTTCAGCCCCAAAGGCAATTCTGTGTTTGGTATGACATGAAAACAGCGTAAAAACACAATTCTGCTTTCACTAATAATAACAAATTATCTTCCCCGGCTGGCTGCCACCCAGAAGTGGGAGAAAAGGGTCCATTTTAGGGAAGCGATAACCTCGCTCGTTCCACGATTTCAAAGCAGCTGTCATAAAAGCAGAGAAATTATGTGAGGTGAAATAGCAGAAATGTTTTACGCTTCCGTCATTCCTACATTTACTGAAGAGACATAAAGTGCATGACTGTTTTTTAATAATAAAAATCATTTTAGTGCAGTAAAGCTTCATTTTAAAGACGGACTAGGAAATATTTTGTACTGTGCACTGCAGTACATACTTCAGTTTACTGCATGCTTTTTTTTTTTTTTGTGAAACAGTCTGCGTTATGCAACAACTGTTTCAAGCAGTAGCCTGCTAATGTATATGTTTACTGTAAGTACAGGTATCGTCCTGGATACAAAAATGTTGCATTTTAAAATGTTTTTAGCTGTTAAATTCATATTCATATACATTTTCATACATACTGAAAAATCAACATGAAATCAAGGTAAACCCTGTTTTCTTTAATACACCCCTAGTAAAAAAGTAATATATTTAAAATAAAATTATTTCATACTAAGTATAGTTCGAATCTATTAACATATTTACTGACATTGCTCGAGACTTAACTTAAAGGGGTCATCGGATGCCAAATTCACTTTTACATGATGTTTGAACATAAATGTGTGTTGGCAGTGTGTGTACACATCCACCCTATAATGATAAAAATCCACTCAGTGTTTTTTTTTTTTTTTTTTAACTAAACTTTATTCTGAGCACTACTTGTGCACAATAAACATTTAACATTAAACCTAAAATGTGTTGTAATGTCACTGTTGATGAGGATTGTATGAGCTTTGAATAATATTGTTCTTTAATTGCGTGATATTTAAAGTGTACCTAAAGTATACTTGCAATAGTTCCACTTCAGTTGGACTTCAGCACTAATTACACAAAACTGTATTGTGGAAAAGTGCATACTAGCCAGCATTTTAAGTGCATTAAGTACAAAATTAGTTGTTCCAATTTAACAGACTATAAGTATACAAGTTTAGCATGCAAAAAGTACAATTCCAGGGTATTTTTATTAAGTATACAAATATGTAAATGTATTTGTAGTATACTTGGCATGAAATAAAGATTTTTCAAATACATTTTAGTATATTTATTTTTCATTAGGGCATGTTCCTGCTCATTTTGTGATTATTTAATGAGTGCATGTTCTTCTAAATAATTGTTTCTTTTTAATATTTTAACAAAATGTCAAAACTTGCTCCACATCCATTGAGGCTATTGTTAATATTTTGGATTTCATATTTTGTTAAAAAAAAATATTTTAATGTTTTTGTAATTTGTGTGTGTGTTTTTTTAATGTCTGTTGATATAGTTTTTTATTGTCATTTTGTTTATAGTTTTACTTATTTTATGTACATTTTAGTTATTTTATTTGAAGTTTTAAAATGTTGCCTTGACAACTAGCTGTAATAAAATATATGTTATTCTTTTTTTAGTTAATGTTTTTTTTAAGTAAAATATGTTACATAGCTTGTATTATTTAATATGTATTTTAACGTTTTAGTTAACGATAATAACCTTGGTCAACAGTCAGATCTATTTAGTCTTTGTTTTAGACTGCTGTTGTAGTAGGTAATGCAGCATTTTAAAAGTTTACATTTATGCATTTTACCTTTATGCATTTGGTAGATTTTTTTTCAAAAGCAACTTCACCGCATTCAAGGTGCACATCTTACGTTCATGCATTTGCTGGCTGATATAATTAAGGTTGCAACAGTAAAGGTGTAATTTAGGTGAACATAAGTCATTTTTTCCCACTCATGTCCTGGCCAGGATTTCTAAATTGACTAAAATATTTGACTTTTGCCTTTGTTTTCCAGTTGTTTTCATACTTGCCGAATGCAAATGACTGAAAAGTTGTTTGACCAATAGCATGCAGGCATTGCACATAAGCAACCAATCGTGGCGTGCAAGAAGGTGGGATCTACAGAGAACGCCAAAGCAATGCAAATACTCCTGCATATAATGTATGAGGACTGTAGAGAGGGCGTCAATAGGAAAACAAAGCCAAAATCTGGACATTTTATGTTATTTTGAAATCCCTGTCAGGACATGACCGTGAAAGCGAGGACATTCAGGAGGAAAATGCATGCAGATTATCATAAAAACCAAGCCTACATTTTGCATGTATCATTGCATATAATGTTTCATTCAGAAATGCAAAAGTAAAATGGGTCTTAAAGCCACTTGATGAGGTATAAATGTCACTGAGGAGCTGATCAGCAGATCAGATGTTGATGTGTTGTAAATGCATTAACATGTGTGACGTGAGGAGCAGGACTAGCTGTTGATCCCTTGGGCCAGGCCCATGGCAGCGCTCTAACTGTCTCCTCTCTCTGGTTCTCGGCAAGAAGATGGTGATGTGCTGAATGTTTGCGTGTCCCTGCCGGTGAGTGTTGGGCGGCTGCCCAAGCAATTAATGGTCTTTGTAATGTGTTCACCAGCACTAGAAAATAAACAAACACCATGAGACCTTTGATTAAGCACCAGGCTGCAGTTTCACAGCTTCAAAGTAGTGCTGAACAGCGGCTTTACCCATCCCACTGCTTCCCGTTGCTGGAACCTTCCCATATCTGCACTTGACACATGAGGATCGGCCTCATTCTGAGTCTGCAGCGCACACGCATGTCATATAAAACTACATCAACCCCAGTATAATCCACACACACGTCAGCAGTTCACACATGCCCCCGTTTTTAACATGCATGCATATATTTTTTTCACAAATATCATATGTATTTCATGTTATTTTACTTCTTACTTTGTAAAGATGTATGCTTAATAAAAACTATATAGACATATTTAAAAAAACAACAAAAACTAATAAAATGACAAAAACACACAACTAAATTAATAGAACTGTATCCAAAATTAACACAAAAGCAGAAGATATAAAAAATAAAAATTGTATTAGTTGTCACTGTAAAATTACAGTAGAAATATTGTATAAATATGTGACAAATTACAAAACAAATGTGAACTTGCATGTACCTACAGTATTGTACATTTTAAATTGCATTTTTTCTTTCATTCAATTAATAGCCAAATATATTAACAGTAATTTAAAACAAAAAACGATATCTTATTGCAAATAGTTGCTATAAAATTGACAGCAATTATCATTATCATGCGTACACAAATACAGTATTACAGCAAATTGCAAAAACACAACAACAACAAAACAATGGTAAATAATAATAATTAACAGCAGTTGTATATATGTGTATATTTGTGGTGTTATTTTAGTGTCATTGAGATACCATTATAGTTTTTATTAATATTTTGAGTCAGTTTTTATTTTTAGAATTTTTCATGCATTTTTATTTTTTATATTTTCATTTAAATTTAAAGCTTTTGTAATTTTGCAGGGTTTTGTCATTTTTAGTAGTTTGTTTTTATATATATGTCTATGTATGTCTTTTATTAATTTTAATTTTAGTTCATTTTAGTACATGAAGTTAAACTATATTAAATGAGAAATGTTGCCTTGGCAACTAGCTGACCTAATTTTTGTATTTTAATTTTATTTAATTTAATTATTTTTTTTTTTTTCATTTAGTTAGTTAATGTTTATTTTATTTCAAGTGACTTTTATGGTTTGAATTTTTTCTTTCAGTTTTTTTTTAGTTAACTACAATAACCCTATATAAATGTATGCGTATACATACACAAAAATATATTTTTTTATGTCTATTTATCTTTACATTTTAATAAACTGTTGGATTATTTTAATTACCGATAAGAGTGCAAAACATTTTTACACATGCTCTTCAGTTGGCATACACGTAAAGAACATATTATGTCAGATTTTGCCTTCATAAATTCTTATTTGTTCCGATTTGTGAAAATAAGCAATAATTCCGATCATATACATGCATTTTATAAATGAGGCCCCTGCATGTTCTCAGGCTGTTTGTGTTAATCATAACATTCAATTTATCCACTATTCTAAAATGATCAATACCAAGGTGAAATGCAATGCATGCAACAGCATTATAAAATCCATGAAAGCTTTAAGCAGTTTCACAGCTTCAGAGCTGCACCGATGCCTTTCGCTCAAGAGTGCCTTTTCCCGTCTCGCTGAATGGAAATTACAGAGCCGTCTTTCCCTACCGAACACGGCATGTGTGTAATGATGCTCAGGGCTGATGGGATTGGAGGAGGGGAATTGTTCTTCTGTGCGTGTATCTGTCCTATTCAATTACACTGCAATCTCTCTTTCTCAAACACACACACACACACAGACTCTAAATGGTGGCAACACACTCATGTACACAAGCTTTTAAATAATTATTAAGTTAAGTTCCAGCGCTGTTGGATGAGTTTTTAAAAGCTCTTGCTCTTGAAACATGTATTGCTCTTTCAACAGTTCTGCTGGCCTGTTTGAATGCACTTGTGGGACCTGCGGCCTGCGTGTCTGCACATCTGCACGTCTGTTTCTCACCACTCACACATTAGTTGATTTTACCTGCAAATTTTACCTAGCTGGTTTCTTTAACATCAGCTAATCTTGATTTCTCACACACAAGCAGTTGTGTGGTATCGTAACATGCTACTCGTACTTTTGCAGCAGTATGTATGCAAAATATACCACAAAACCAGTCATAAGTCACATAGGTATATTGGGTCAAAAATATCGATTTTTCTTTTATGCCAAAAATCATTAGGATATTAAGTAAAGCTCATGTTCCATGAAGATATTTTGTCAATTTCCTACTGTAAATATATTAAAACTTAATTTTTGATTAGTAATATGCATTGCTAAGGACAACTTTAAATGCGATTTTCTCAATATTTAGATTTTT